TATTTTTATAAGGCCAAAATTATTTGTTTTGGCATTATGTGATAAAAATATGCCCAAACCTTGAATTTTTCACATACTTTTCTCACTGCTTACCAAGTTTTTTGCAAGAATTCTTTTATTTACGGATTCTGTAAAGTTTTGTATATCCTAACCCTTTTATAGTAACAATGATAATAATTACCATCATTAATTGGTGTCGACACATACTTACGGCCATTAACCCATAAGCAATATTAGCTGCTTTATACTGACATTCAATGACAAATCAGGATATATTATTTTAATGTTGGTTCAACCTCTGAGCTTATCAGGTTTTAATATCCAATATCTTCTTTTTCGAATAACTTTAATAAGCCGTAAGCTTCGATTTTTTTATCTACGAAACCTACCTATTCTACATGATCTCTAATTTCCATTTAAATCGATATGATTGATATAAATGCAAAATCCAATGATATCTCATCTGCATTCCTGCATAAGTCCCTTTTCAGGCTAGTGCTTAATATATTTTGTCCTTGCAAATGATTGGGTGAATTATTCACGTCAGAATCTTGCCTGTTCTTTTTGTTTTACAAGACTTTGTCTATTCTATATTTTTAAATCTTTACTCAGGCGGATCTCAAATATCTGGTATTGTGACGTCTCGATTCGCCCCTATTTCAACAGGCCACTTGCTTCCCCATCTTCGAACTGAGATTAAAAGGTTCTTACTTGCTCATTGTTTTATTTTCATATTTATTTCCACCTTGGGAAAGATTACTTTCCGTCATATTCCACATCTAAGAGAATATATATTATGACCATAAAATAGCTTCTAAACCCAGCCTAATCTTGCAATCTAACACTTGCTTTCTTAATATTATGGCCTTTAGGGCAGTTGCCTAGTTAATACTGCGGTCACCTTCGTTTTGCTAACTACATTCATTAAAAATCCTATTCCACTCCCAATATTTTCAAGTATCAAGTGATTATCCCCAACTTTGTTATTTATTAACAATACTCCCTTCTCTTTTCTTACATTGTTTTTATTTCATCGATCGAATTTCTTTTTTTATTACTATACTAGACTCATTTTTTGGCTACTATATATTTGTTGAGCCTACTTCCATTTTGAGTGAAAGTCTTTGGTGAAGAGATTCGAAGGTCTATCCCATAAGAATGCGACGGCGGATTTCTCATTACTGCAGAGGGGATGATGGCCCTCATAAAACCTTGATTGCAGAGAATATCTAGTACTTTTCTGTTATAATTACTTTGAGTCATCACTATTGGTTTCGAACATATACTAACACATTAACGCACACAAACACACTCAGACCTCGAGGTTGGCATCTGACTTGAACTGACTCATTTTACGTCAGCATCAAAGAGCTTAGATATAGGGTATATTTAAAACATTTATGGATTAGCATGTGCGTTTTCTTGACTATTTAGTTGTACTTTTAAAAGTTTTTCTTATTTGGTAATTGTGTTATGCCTCTGCTACTGATAATCCTATTTATTGTCTATCTATATCTCTAATATTTGAATTATTGTTTACTTGTCTTTTGTATTTTCAAATAAGCGCTGCTGACAATAGGCGATGGTCACTTGCCTCTTTGCCTTCATCTGGTTATGGCACGATCACACCTGGAAGCAGTAATGTTTCGGTGAGCAAATCGTTCTCCACAAACTTTATTTTTGTAATGTATTTCTTATTTGATTAATGAGTTCACTAATCTTTTTATAATTTCGGTTAGATTCTTATCCTCACTCCGCGGTGGATCTAAATTTGCTTATCTTTTAATGAATACTGTCAAATGGCTCAAAATTTATCACTACCCTAACTATTTATTTGTTCCTTATCTATTCGTCTATTCATATGTATAGTAGTTTGGATGATTGCTTACCGATCCTTAAAAAGTAGCAATCTTTTAGCTTATTGTAGATGACTAATCTCACATACTTTGAGGTATGTTTATTTCTTTAATAAGTTCTCCATAATAAATTTGTCAACACGGTTCTTTTTGTTCATTACTTTTCATACATATGTCTTATCTACCTCAATGTATAATCGTATGGCCTTGCTGTCCATCTTATTTTGATATTTTTTACCCCTAACTTTAATTATTATAACTATAATAAGTTGTATCAGCTCTGGGCTTTGCTATGAAACTTAAGATAACATTTGTAGGTAATCGATTTTTTCAGCATTATTGCTAAAATATTTCCTATTATTTAATTCAAACTTCTACTTTTAACAGCCTGCTGCTGTCGCTACTTCATCAGCCAGCGTCGAAACCAATGTCAACGCGTCTGGAATAAATGGAAGCCAATCGAATGCTTCTTCTTTGCAGGGTAAATCATCCTCACCAATAACTCAGCCACTCTCTTCGTCGAATCGTCCCGGAGTGACTGGATTTAGCTCCTCGGGTCTACCCTCTACAATTGCTTCACCCTTCTCAAACCGCCTTAATGATGCTGAACCTTGTATATCTGTTGAAGTAACTTCAGCATCTTTCAATTTGATCTCTCCC